TAATGTTATTATCTTAATCATGGAGGGAGAGAAACAGACGTTATTTCAGCCGGCATGCTCCTGGACAAACCACATGACTTAAACATTTCACTTATCGTGCGTCATTAAGGTTTGAAGTATTCCCATGAGTAACCAAGGTTTCTGGAGGATGGGTGTTTTTTTTTTAATCAAGACACCAGACTTTTTACCTAGCAAGACTAGAGATCCCAGTGTTCTCTATTTTTTAATCCGTAACTGAGGAGAGAAAAATAAGCTTATGTCTCTCCTTACGTTATTTGCACGAAATTAAGCATAAAGTACTTGGCCAGAATTCGAACTCGGTTCACCAATTTCTTTTCCTGATTCACTAAATTTTATATTAGGTTGGTGCAAAAATAATGACGTAATAATGTCGTTTTTTGACGTTACGTCAAAAACGACATTATTACGTCGTTATTTTTGCACCAACCTAATACTACCACTACATCCATATCAACGTGGGGGAGTGTTTTGCCTTCTCCTATGACTCAGAGGGACATGAAAGTCCAACATAGCCAGACAGAATTGGTAGGAGCCAAACAAAACCTCAGTCACCGAGAGGTATAATCATCAATGACAAAAAAACTGGAGACGGTAGCACCTCCCCGGTGTTATAAAGAGACAAGCCACTACAGACCGATTCATTGGCTTGATAAGCAATGATCAATGGTGGAGTCATATCTGGCCGGATGCTCTGCTACACAACTCGAGATTCTTGACAAAATCCAAAAAAGAATGTGTAATGTAATCGATCCTAGCATGGCATCTCGATTTCAGTCACTTTCTCGACAATTTGGCGTTGCTTCCTTCTGTCTTTTCTACAAATATTTTCATGGCGACTGCTCTGACGAGCATTGTTCCTGGTACTCCGACTACATGAATTTAAGCGTTTTACTAAATTGGCATCTGGGTCCCACCTGTTTATTGTTTAAATAACTACATGCAAACACCATTTCTGCACCAACAACTTCTTTTATCGCACTTCACGCGTGTGAAAGTTTCTTCCGTTTACTCGATTCCCTGATAACTAAAATCTTCAAAAATTTAAATGCAACGTCAATCGACTCCTTCTGTATTTTTGAATCCCGTTCATCTTTTCTCATTTCCCCAATTCTCTCTATACTAAGTCTTCTCTTTCACTTTCATTTTCAACCCCACTTCATACTAAGTGAAATTCTTGCATTGCTTGCGGTGACATGATTAAAAAAAAAACACTTCTACTTAGATGAATACTGCGGTTTGTCGTACGAGTATTGAATCGTATATACGATGATAGGTTGAAAGCAACTGAAAACAGCTGGATTATTAAATTTAGTTTTTCATACCATATCGTTCGACTCCTGGGTCAACAAGGCGTCTGTCTCCAATGGAAAGTCAGGTTCTTATGGTTTTATTAGGTTGGTGCAAAAATAATGACGTAATAATGTCGTTTTTGACGTTAAAAAATACGTCAAAAACGACATTATTACGTCATTATTTTTGCACCAACCTAATACTTACTACAATGAACTAAAAACCGATGCTTTTTTTTTTTTTTGAGGTTCGAAGAACTAATGAATATCATAGGAGACAGAGAAGAATAGAATAAACAAGTCAATCGTATTCGCTTTTAATATAAAGAAAATATTAATCGCTTCTCCGTTCATATCGGGTCATTCGTTGAGTTCCGTTCACAATCGGTGCTCCATCCTTTCGGCCGTATGCCACATCTAAACTATGCTTAGAAAATCACCATGCCAAGTTATTCTAGGAGTTCTAGTGGTTGCATCGTCGAATCATAGGCGACTAAAGAGGTTCCTCTAACAGGCTTTTCTCGTGAGGAAAGTAGTTCGGCAGTCAATAGTTTAAAAACACGGCCTGTCAAGGGGGTGATAAACATTCTTGTAGAATCAACGTCTGTCGAGGCACCATGCGGTGATGAACAGTATCGCTGGGCTTCCTAGACTGAAGTCAACGCCCAACGCGGAAGGCTTCTCTGATGGAATCAACTCCCACATATCCGTGACAAGATAGAAGACATTAGCTGTGGTTTAATCGGAAGAGTGATGGGCTCCGTCAAGTCTACTGTCCAGAGACACGCTACGCGTGAATGAATGCCTCCGTGTCTTTAAACCTGATATGTGAATGGAACTGGTCAGCAGGTAAGATGGGCAGTGACACTACGATCACGCCCTTAATGGTACTGATTATAGTGGTGGTGGTGATGATAATGGTGATGATCCTCTCTGTTTTTTTTTTGTTTTTTTTATTTTCATAATAAACATTAACATTTGTTTTTTTCAAAAGATATAAAATACTGAACATCTCTTTTCGTCTCATCAGTCCGTAGGCCTTGATTGTTTCAGCGTAAAAATCCTAAGTATTGGACCAAGTGATGATTTAAAAAATATTTAGTCGCAATGTTGTATTCGGATATTCACTGATTCGTTATCTACATCTTATGGCTTTAAATAACCTGAAAAGATTATTTAAAGCCATATGTTTTTTTTTTCTTTTTAGATTGTAAGAATCTCATTTAGATAATAATAATTTAGCAATACAAGTCTTAATAATTAACCCATAGTTGGGGGAAGACGAAGTGGATTCATACCTTTCCCAAGGGTATTTGCGCGTAGGTGAATATAACGAGACGAACAATTAACAATTCCAAGTCATTATCTATTACACCACCCGCACCTCCAAGCTTAAAACATGATATTCTCTAGCCGTCACCCATCTAAGTACTGACCAACCTCGATGTGTTTAATGTAATTTGGCCGTAAGCCGTAATTTGACAACAGGATGTCAGGATATATTGGCAGATATACAATGTAAAAGCGTAATTATTTTTAAAGCACTCAGTATAAGGTTAACATAGTATTAAAAAAGAATGATTATTCCTACGATGAAAGTTTTTAAAAATGACAGACATTAAGTTGAAAGATATATTTTATTGCAGTTGCATAAATTTCGTATTAAGTTTTCATTCCCAGACATATGAGAACATTCATAAATGCTGTCAGGTGTCAACACGTCCAGGGCAATATGGATTTGATTAATGAATAAAATTTCCACTGCGCAAAAAAGACATGCGATTACATGCTGACATCCGTCAGTCAACACTGACAGCAGATAAAATGACCATTTTTTTTGTTAAAACAAAATGTCATGACATAATTGTTGTGTCCCTGCATAGGTTCTTTTCTACTAATATCGGCAAATTGTGAACACTTAGGAAATATGGCGTAGTAGTTTCCTCGCTGTCTTCTCCGCGTTTCTGAATTCAGATTAGGCTTTCCATTAGAATAGGTGTCATAGGAGAAGGCAAAACACTCCCCACGACGTCGATATGGATGTAGTGGTAGTTTAACAGTTAGCGAAGCAGGAAAGAAATTGGGAGCCGAGTTCGAATTCCGGCCAAGTTCGTTATGTTTAATTTCATGCAACTACCGTTAGGAGAGACATAAGCCCGTTTTTTTGTTTGTTTGTTTTTTTTTTAAAAGGATATTAGAATAATCTAGGGAATATATCCTGGGGACCAACACCTATCAGTGGATAGAAAATGAATTCAGTAAATACATGTGTCTTCTCGCCAGACTTATTCAAATCTTATAGGGAAATCCCAACAAGATTCACTAATGTCAGCCACATTAGATATGCAGATAACACGGCCTTTATAGCAGATTGGAAAAGAAGCCACAGGAACCCCGACAGAATGAAGTAAATGATAGCGAAATGAAAAGACGAATCCATCAATTGTATGAATCCAGAATGTATAGGTCTTTGCAAAAGGAAGAGGCCAACATGTAAATTACAATTGGAGACATCAAAATAAAGAACATTGAACAAAAATGCGAAGGCGCATTGGAATAACGAAAGATGTATTTCCAAAGATAAGCAAAGTATTAAGGAACAGCAAACTTCCGTTAGAAACAAGTAAAACAGTATTGAATTATCATGTAACATCGGTCCTCCTCTATGGCAACGAATGCTGAACAATCTCATTACAGAGGAAGAAGCTACTTAAGGTAACAAAAATGTCGTTGTACACAAGGATGTTGAGAAAACTATAGACGAAACATGAGAGCAACAACGAAGTTTTAGAGAAAATTGAAACAAAAAACACATGTATATTATACATTGCTTCAGAAAGAAATTTCTGAAATTTCTGAAAATGCATAATGGAGAAAGGAAGGTTTAGAATATTTGACACTTACATGACATGTTGAATTTTTAGAGAAAATGGAAACCAAAAGGACACTGATAATTAACACCAGAAGGAGACAGTTGATATTTCTAGGAAGAAAAGATAGCTTAGAAATATTGACACTGAAAACACATAATGAAAAAAGGAGGCTTAGAAAATTTGACACTGACAAGACATATTGAAGGCAAAACGGACAAAATGCAATGACAATCGTTTAGGGAAAATGGAAACAAAAAGAACACTTTTAATTAACCTCAGAAGAAAACGGTTGACATTTCTAGGGCATATAATGAGATAGAGGGCTTAGAAAATTTAACACTCACAAGACATATTGAAGACAAGGAACAAAGGGAACCAGAGCATAAGCTACCTAAGGAGCTTGTGTAGAGTGTTGGCTGAACAAGGACGAGAAGTTATCAAAGGACAGGAAAGTCTGCATAGCAATGATCGCCGACGTCCCGAAGGGACACGGCACATAGAAGAATATATTGAGATAATGTTCGATTTCTTTCTATACGCCCCCTTTATTTTTTGTTCATTTTTCGTCAATATTAATATTATTTTTAATTATGGAAGTTTTAATCTAGTAATCGATGTCTTTCACTGACGATCACGTCAGAAATTGATCGCTTAGATTTAAGATTATAAGGATCTTATTTGGAGATAATATTACTAATTAACCCATAGCTGGTGGATTCATATATTTCCTAACAGTATTTGCGCGTAATTGAATATAACGAACCCGCCGGGAATTGGAACACGGCACTCTCTCCGATTCACAATTTCGAAACCGTAGCTTACAGCACCTGCTATTCTTAAGCGGTTACACACCAATGTAATGAGCAGGATCGGTATTGCTTAACTTCGGTGATCGTACGGGAACTGGTATTTTCAAGGTGATGTGGCCGTAAGCCTTTTGTTCTGGAAGAACACGGCACATATAGCAACGTATAGGCGCAAAAGATAATGTAACAGGTTAGGTTAGTATTTGAAATCGGGACGTTGATTCCAATTTCTGCTCTGATAACTGTTACACCACCCACGCACCCTAATGACAATTCTTTCTTTTTATGTGCCATGTCCTTTCAGAACGTAGGCGATCATGGCTCTCCACCTCCCTCTATCGCTTGCAGCTCTCATCAAGTTCCTCCCTCTGCTACCTCCCGCAGACCACGTACTGTCATCCACTTGCTTAAGTCCGCTAGGTATGTCATGCGATGTTTCCCCTTGTCACTTTTTCCTTTTATTCGAACCGTGAGTATCAGATTCTCCAGGACCTCCTTCCTCATTATGTGTCCCAGAAACTTCAGCTGCCTTTTCCTGATGTTGATGTATAAAACTCCTTCTTTTTTGCATCCTCTCGAAGACCACATTGTTGCTCACACGCTCATTCCATGATATCCTTAACATCTTTATGTAGAACCACATAGTTCAACATTCGAGTTCAACATTCGCTGCCGTAAAGAAGGACAGATGTCATGTAACAGCTCAGTACTCTTTTCTTTTTTACCAAAGAAATCCTTCTCCTGTCCCTGACCTGTAAATTGCATTTCGGACTCATTATTTACTGACTTTAAATAACCTGTAAAAGTTTGATACAGTAACCTTTTGATAAATAGATCAGAATATTAGCGTTCATTTAGCTAGAAAATCTGTTGATGATTATATTGAAAATGTTAACCAAAAAATATCGGGACGAAATGTTTTTTTTAATCGTTTCAATTCAAGCAAGGTGATAATGCCAGTCAGACGCCATGTCTTACTGAGAGTGAAAGGTTAATAAAAACAGGAAGGAAGAAGATAGAAGATGGCGACTGATGCTGCATTTAAAAATCGTAGGTGATAGGGAAGAAAGCAATCGGAATAGAATTCGAAAGGTGAAAAGTTCGAGAATATAAACTATTAGAATTGAACTTACGGTTATAGCTAACTATTTCTACAGTGTAACTATGAAATCCATTTGCTGACCAAGTAGAACGTTCACATTCCGTGTCTGCTTGATTCTTGTGTTCCCGACCTGCAAATCACATTCCAGGCTCATCCTTTTACTGATGACCATGCGGTGATGCTATTTACTGCGCAAATAATTATGTGAGGGCAATTTATATCGCCACACTGTCCTACTATGCTCTTTACTTACCAATGGGAATATAATGTTTACTATAAATGGCGTCTTGTCATCGGTCACACCGAAATATAATCATGGATTTCCTAAGAACGATAGCGTAGACATGAAATTGTGAACGAAATTCAAATATACAGAAGAAATAGAAAGAATACTAATTACTAAGCGTGTATGACAGTCAATAGATTATACGAGTACTCTTACGTCCTGAATAGAGGGATAGGTTGGAATTAAATGGGTTCGAAAAATGCATTCTATATTAAACTTTGTGGGGAGGGGAATAGGGGGATGTAATTGGAATGAACGAATATGTCGGTAGAAAGTGCGAAAGAAGCAAGACATCTAGAATAACAGTTCTTAGGATGGTAAAGTAAACAAATTTTAAATAACCGCCTAGGACCGTCTATTCTGGACATTTACTAAAATAATATAAAATGACTAATTACCAAACGTGTAAAATATTGCTACAGATTATACAAGTAATATAAAAATAGGTGGGGAATAAAAGGGCATGCTGGAATATTCATTCAAAATTAATTTGCTTTTGAAACAAAAAAGGGATGAGAGGAGTTTGGAATAAACGGGTAGGTTGCTAAAAGAGAGGAATAAACTAAACTTGGGTGAGGCAGAAATGAGAGTGAGTGTGGTGAAAAATAGACATTATTTAAATAATGCGTCCAACGTTTATGTTGGACGCGAGATTCTTTTTTAGATACCCTCTTTATCTCTTGAAATAATGTAAGTAAATTTGCATGTCCAAACAGTTAACATCGCAATATACTAACTTCTTTAATTTACAACATAGACATTTGACGTGGTTAACAAAGTGACTATCAAATTCCTGCAAGTGTCTGATTGAAAAGCATGTCTGCGCTTGCACAACTTAGAAAAATAAGTCAAGGTGAGAAAAAAAAACGAAGTAAAAAAAAAAAAAAAAAAAAAAAAGAAGCAACGAAAATGCGCAAATAAAAATCATTAGAAACAAAAAAAGAAAGAAAATAAGACGAAAATAAAGAGGGAGAATACAGGAGTTTAAATAAATTCTAGGAGAAAGGAAGGAAAGAAAGATTAGTATTAGGTTGGTGCAAAAATAATGACAATAATGTCGTTTTTTGACGTTAAAAAATACGTCAAAAAACGACATTATTACGTCATTGTTTTTGCACCAACCTATAGATCAGTAGATCAATTCCCTGACCTTCGTAGAAATTAATAAATTTTTGTATTTTCGTTATTTTTCCTAAACCTCGTTCCGCCATCCATTTACTCAAGCTCATTATGTTTTGCGTTGTTTTACACAATCCTTCTTGCCTTCAGTCTGTTCCATGATTATCGGATTTTCATGACCTCTTTCTCATAATGTGCCCTAGAAACCTCAACTGTCGCTTCCTGATGTTAAGTATAAATTTCCGTCTTGTTTCCGTTGTTCACATATTCAGTCCATAGTATCCCCGTAGTCCTTCTCTAGAACCTAATTTCTGCTACTTTAAATCTCTTCATCTTTGAGGATATTGTCCAGAATTCACTTATATCACAGATGTCATGCAATAGTTCAGTACCTTTTTCTTTGTTTCTGCTGACGATTTTTTCTTAATAATTTTCTTAGCTTTTGGAACAGTTATTCTTTAATCATCATAGAAAAGCATTTTGCCCTCCATCAGCATGCCTGATGCTAATCACCAGGAATACAACTCATTGGGTCTTCTTGGTCTCACGATTTATATGACGTCTAATGGTTATATTTAATCAGTTACTAGATTTACTGCTAAGAAAAGCTGTTTCGCTGTGTCGTGCCATACCCTTGCTTCGCAGCCATTTGGAAGTCCTCATTTTTTGTTTTTGTTTTTAAGAAATCTGGAAATCCTTCAGACCCATCTAACTACCGTCCTATTAGTCGCCTACCACTCATCAGAAAAATCTTCGAGGCTTTAATCAATGCCCAAGTGGTTAAGCACCTTACATTCTATGATCTATTCTCTGACAAATAATATGGTTTCTGCTTTGCCCAGTCTACCGCTGACGTTCTCACGGCCATAACTGAATTTGTATACCAAGCACTTGACAATAACAGGGTAACTCGAGTTGTGGCTCTAGATATCTCTAAAGCGTTTGATAGGGCTTGACATGCTGGTCTTCTTCGTAAGCGTCACGGATACAGTATTACAGGACGATTATTTTACTTAATACAATCATTCCAGTTAAACCGTGAAATGAAGGTCGTCCTAAAAGGGTTCTCCTCTGGCTGGTGTTCCCCAGGGCTCTATCCTGCGTCCTACACTGTTTTTGATCTTCATCAACAATCTTCCTGATGTCATCAAATAGGCATCTACGCAAAAGACGCACCTATTTACTCTTGTCTCAATAGTAAATCCAGAATTACTGACAAAACTTACCCGGTTTTTGTTCTCGAAAAGGACATCCAATCTGTGGTTGACTGGGGCAGAAAATGGGGTGTAAACTTTAATGCATCCAAAACGAAACTGCTCTCATTTACCCACCATAGAAAACCCTCCCTACCTCGAATCAGAATGACAGATGCCCTACTCCACGAGAGAGCCTCTCGGCGCCTGCTTGGTCTCACGCTTTCCACTGACCTGAGATGGAACAACTACATTGAATCAATAGCTTCATCTACAACTAGAAAATATGGTTCTCTATGTCACGCCAGAGTATTTCTCTCGCCTGAGGTTCCCCCTTTAAATCGTGGCTCTTCGATTTCTCATTTCAAGCTCTGCAAACCTAAACTTAAGCCTGAAATAAAAAATAATATTAATAAAATATAATGATCTGTAGTAAATAAGATAAGAAAGAAAATACAAAAGCCTGTAAAAAGTGCTCAACTGTAAACTATTAGGTTGGTGCAAAAATAATGACGTATTAATGTCGTTTTTTGACCTTAAAAAATACGTCAAAAAACGACATTATTACGTCATTATTTTTTGCACCAACCTAATACAAATTATCGTCTTGGTTGGGCAAAAGACAAGTCTAAATTTAAAACCCGAGAATGACTATTTAGACATACATATATATGCTCATATATATATATATATATATATATACAGGTTTGATCAAACTTGTTATGTCTGATCAAACTTGTAAAGTCTTATCTATTTGCATTTTTTCAAATTTTCAAATAAGTTATTGAGTATTATGTTCTAAGTTGTGGATAATATGTCCGAAGTTCACATTGTGTTCTTGTTCAAGTATTTTCGACCATCTTAGTCCATTTCAAGAAACAATATGGCGTCTGTGTAGTAGGTAGAATCTCTTTGTTTACATCCTGGTATTCTTTAGGAAGTTTGAAATTGTCTGGCATAACGTAACGCGGAACAGTTATTTGGAACAATGTCGCACAAAAAGAATGCAATTTTATTTTATTTTTACTATTATCATTATTATTTTTTATTCCCAAAATGTGGAAGAGAAATGATGGAATCTTGCCTTTATTATTAAAGTGAAAATAAAAACAACTGATATGGCCAAAATTTGAGCCTAGCACGATTCCACTTTAAGCGTAGATAACTATTACAATACCCACACATTACTTTTATTGCTTGTGCTAAAAAAAAAACACTTAGAAAATATTATTCTTAGTAGTCTTTTTTATTAGAACACTTAGAGAAGAGAGTGGTTTAAGAAAAGGAAAGTATAATAAAAAAGACACAGTGTTTAATAATGTGCAACAATATTTCAACAGTATGCCTATCTACTTCAAGTTATGTTTAAAAATTGCATACAAGCATAAAATATAGAAAATACAGGTCTTGAGAAAAACGGCCGTAA